CTCCGATGCTTCAGCTTGCAAATCTCCTCTACTCTCGAGGCTTCTCCATCACCATAGTCCACTCCCACTTCAACTCTCCTAAATCCTCCAACTACCCTCACTTCAACTTCCAACCGATCCCGGACGGCTTGCTAGAGGGCCAGGCCTCTACCGTAGACTTCATAGCTCTCGTGACCCTGATGAACGTTAATTGCGTGGGGCCGTTCCGAGACTGCTTGGCCAAGCTGTTGTCTGATGCTTCGAAGGATCGGATTCCGTGCTGCTTGATAACCGACCCGGTGTGGCACTTCACTCAGGCGGTTGCCGACGAGCTTAACGTCCCGAGGATGGTGCTGCAGACTAGCAGCATCGCCTCTTTTCTCGCTTTCTACGCGTTGCCGCTCATGCAAGAGAAGGGTTACCTCCCGCTCCAAGGTAAGCTCCTTCCACATCTCCACACATAAATCCCTAGACAAATGAACTTCGTTCGCTTATGATGTGTACTTGGTTTTACTGTGTCATATGTGACTTGAGTTTAAATGACTATATAGCAAATTGGAAGGCCATAGATCTATTATTCTTCTGCAGAATATGAAATTTCAAGCCAGAGCATGATTCTTTCTGGTGTACGAGTGGTCTCTCAGGATCTTTCAGTTTGCAGAATATCCGCTTATTAAGCCTCCAATCATCATTATGTAAGCGTTTGAGCAAGCATAGGATGGTTATCTTCGCATACACTTTAATGTGCGAGGAATAACTATTTCCCCTGTTGAAGATAGAAAAAAACACAAATTATTTGTTTCATAAAAAATTTGGATGGTCATTTTCCATGGGACCTAGTAGAAACATTATGAACATTATCTTGACGATCCACAGCTTTCGAATCAACTTGAATCCGTGCAATCAAATTGTCCCCTCTGCTTGTCGATTTTGGTGCAAGCCCTTCTGCTGTTGGTAAAATTACCCAAAAAGTCATAAATTTATTGCACTTATGCCAATTAGCCATAAATCTTTTAATCGTGCTCATTGAGTTCTACATATTTTCACGTTTTGATAATTGAGTCTGTTTGGCCAATTTTGACTAGAAATAGCTGACGTGAACGATTTTCAATAATATTTTAAGAATTTTTTTTTTCCTTTTTTTCTTATCTTTTTCTTCTTTACCCGGCTCGGCCCTAGGCGAGACCATTGCGACTATGAAAGCGGCCTCACCCGCGGCCACGATGGTCTAGGCGAGGTCAGTCTCGCCGACCGCGGGTGAAGGTGGCCTCGCCTGTGGCCAGCGAGGTTGGCCTTGCCCTGATCTGGGTATTGCAGCCCTTGCAAGCGATGCCCAAATCTGAGAAAAATATTTAAAAAATTGTCCATGTCAGCGATTTCCTATTAAAATTAGCCTGATGAACTTAATTGGTGAAACGTAAAATTATTTACGACTCAATTATTACGATTAAAATGTTTTTAACTGAATTTGTAGATGTGTAATAAATTTAGGTCTTTTTTGATAATTTTATCCGTGTTGTTTAACTCTTTGAGTTGCCAGGTATCGCATCACACCTGACATTTCTACTGCTAATCAAGAAATTGTTGAAAAGATGGACAAAGCAATTTTCACATACCCTTGTGCTCGATTTGGCTATAGCACCTTGGCCTGTCGCCATTGGGCGTGAATATTTTATGAGATACAGGAATCATGATGAGACACTTTGACAGTATTGTCGTATCGTTAAAATTCATTTCCACGTGAATCAAGATCTCACATATTTGGGTGGAATATGATGATCTGTTTAATTGTCATCATAAACTATTATGGTCTTTCTTATTTATGTTGTTATCTCCGGCGTTACTGCTTGCAATTTTGCGAAGAAAAAAGATGCTTTTTGGCTTCTTAGACCTTGTGATCGTGGGAGATGGAGATTGCAACGTCAAAAATGCTTTTTCACCCGTAGCTGATTTGTGAAAAACTGTAGAGCAATAGCTTTTGTGTTTTAGGAAGCAGACAAATGTATACTTAAAACAGCGTTAATGTGTCTTCGAGTTTGACCGTTTTCTGCGTTTCATTCCTCACAGATACCCGGTTAGAGGAGGCAGTGCCCGAACTTCCTCCGCTCAAAGTGAAAGACCTTCACGTCTTCAACACAAAAGACCCCGAGGATGTCCTCAGGCTCATCATCGCCATGGCCGAGGCCATCCAGGCCTCTTCCGGGCTCATCTTCAACTCCTTCAAAGAGCTCGAATCGACCAAATTGGCCAAATGTCGCCGGCACTTCCCCGTCCCGATCTTCACGATTGGCCCATTCCACAAGCTCTGTGCAGCCTCATTAAGCAACTTGTTGCCTCAAGATAAGAGCTGCATTTCGTGGCTTGACAAGCAAGAAAAGCCCAAATCGGTCCTCTACATGTGCTTCGGGAGCCTCTCAATACTCAACGAGGCCCAATTCCTGGAAATAGCCTAGGGGCTCGTGAATAGCGGCCGGCACTTCCTTTGGGTGGTCTGGCCCTGGTCGGTCCGTGGGTCAAAGTGGCTCGATGCCCTGCCAAGCGGATTCCTAGAGGGCTTGGACGGGAGGGGCCACATCATGAGGTGGGCCCCACAGCATGAGGTCCTAGCCCACCCTGCCGTTGGCGGGTTCTGGACGCACAACGGGTGGAACTCGATGCTGGAGGCTGTTTGCGAGGGCGTGCCAATGATGTGCATGCCCTTCTTCCGGGACCAGAGGGTGAACGCGAGGTACGTATGCGACAAGTGGAGAGTCGGGTTGCATTTGGAATACAAGGTGGAGAGGAGGGAGATTGAGGATGCGATTAGGAGATTGGTGGCGGGTGACGAGGGAGAGCAGATGAGGGAGAGAATGGGGGGTTTGAAGAGGAAGGTGGATGAGTGTATGAAGGAAGGTGGTTCTTCACATCAATCGCTTCAGAATCTGACCGATTACTTAGTCTCGTTCTAGGAAACTTTTAGCTTCTCCATTGAAATTTGTAATACAACAATCTTGATGGGATTTCCGAAATGTTGATGTATCGCGGGGGACAATTGAACTACAGTTGGTGTAGACTTGATCATGGACTTCTTGATTAGAATCTAAACGGGACCATTCTTGTCACTTCACTCCATTCATGGATTTTAACATATTTTGTTACAATTTGACTCATTGCGTTCTTTCGCAGAATTGAATAGTCTTAGGAAAATCAAATCCATTCGTACGCGATTACTCCAATCGTGGATTTTAAGTTTAATTTTTTCTATTTAGGCTTACTTTTAAAAAAGTTTTGTCTAAGCGATACTTGAGCCTGCAAGTGTGCTCCTGGACTGGAACATTCGTGCTCATCACTCCCGTTGCGTTTCTTACAACGTAAATGATGGGATGACCTATATGAAATTGAAGACTATAATGTAATTCTTTTGGACCAAGAATAATGTCATCGATCAATGCATCAAACGTTTTGTCTTCTTTTAAAAGTTGGACTCAAGAGTGCCTCACACGCCTAGATGCCGAAAGCGAAAGAGAACCATTTACGCACCACTTCAAATCTGACATAACGACAACATAGTAGTAGTGCCAAACTGCCAATAATAGAATAGCGATTTGACAATTACGAAGAAGCTTGGGTGCTTGTGAGGAATAGAATTTGGAGAGAAAATGCCAAAGATTCAAATTGGTTTTCCTCCCTTTTCCAAATAAAGCCACCAAAATGGGTGGCACATGGCTAGTCGACGTTTTCTTAGGTAGAGTAAGATTACACGTCTTCACCAACTTTGATCATCCAAGCCGCTTTCAAAGCTTGATTCCCAAACTCCTGTTGATTTCTTTCCAACCATTTTTTAATTCGCGGGTAATGTCTATAATATATTTGATCCGCTACATTGAAATTCAGTTGAATGTTGATGCGATTTAACAAATTTCACTGATATTCGGAATATTGAGTGTATCTTATATGTATCTTTTCCACATGGTTCTGGGGCTTAATGACCACCATTTCTTGTGTTTTGTATTCCGGTAAAATATAGAATTCCTTCTTTTACATTTGACTTGTGCAAACACATCCAATGAAAAGATGGTATTCGAAACGATCGACCACGGTATCGATAGATGAGCACCAAGTAGTAGGAATGAAATAAACGATGATTACCGATAAGAGGGAAAGATAAAGCAATGTATTCTGGGGATCACAATTGAAAAGTTCGATGGTGGGCTCTTAGTGCCTAGGAAAGTGTCTTTCCCCTATAATAAAATTGAACAAAAGATAGTTTCTAATAATAGAGTTAATATCACGAAAAACCTCAAACTGGTACACTTATAATAATTTTACCCCTAACTAATTTTTTTACTACCAAAAATCCTAAACTGGTACACCTGTGATAAATTTACTCCGAACTATTGTTTTGACTACCAAAAACCCCTACACTGGTACACTTATGATAATTTTACCCCGAACTATTTTTTTTATCACAAAAAATTCCAAACTGATATACCTGTGATAATTTTACCCCAAACTAATTTTTTTGCTACTAAAAACCCCAAACTGTTACATTTGTGACAAATTTACCCATCGTTAATGTCCGTTAAATTGGATTAATATCACAAAAAATCACAAATTGGTAAACTTGTGAAAAAAAGAGGGGTAAAACCCCAAACTGGTACACCCATCAACTACCACGTGCCATCAAACTTAGCAATTTGATAGTAAAATTTAACGAAAACTAACGGAGAGTAAATTTGTCACAGGTGTACTAGTTTAGGGTTTTTGGTGATCAAAAAATTAGTTTGGGGTAAAATTATCACAGGTGTACCAGTTTGGGGTTTTTTATGGTAAAAAAATTAGTTCAAGGTAAAATTATCACATGTGTACCAGTTTGGGGTTTTTGATGGTCAAAAAAATAGTTTGGAGTAAATTTGTCACAGGTGTACCAGTTTGGAGTTTTTTCGTAGTATTAACCCGTCTCGACAATATAATCTATGGTTTTTTGTAAATTTTTATTTAACTTTGAACTTTATATATATAACGATTATGAGATTGAGACATTAAAAGAAACGCCGATGAGTATCCATTGGTGTATGTTATTTGAACTTTTGGAATACTAAGAATCATTTACTTCAATAACAGAAGAAATCACGACGTTGGACTTCAGCTACTCGGCTTCATGGACCTTATATCCTCAATCAAGCGGTCCAGATTATCCCACGAGGACCCACCTTCGGTTGCCGCGCCCCTCGCCCTCCTCGCCAAGTCACCGGCCGCCGCCGCCAATTCCTCCTTCCTCTCCCCCATCACTTCGTTGACCATCCTCTCCACCACCTCCCTATCGCACACGTCCTTCATGTCAAGCCCCGCCTTCCACGCGCGGCTCACGAGCCGGCTGTTCACCTGCTGGTCCGCGAAGTACGGCCAGCACACCATTGGCTTCCCGGCGACCACGCTTTCCAGAGTCGAGTTCCACCCGCTGTGCGTCAGGAACGCCGCGACGGCGCCGTGGTGCAGGACCTCCTCCTGTGGGGCCCACCCCACGATGCACCCCCTCTCCGCCGCCGCCTCTGTCAGCTCCTCCGAGATGCCGCCGCCGCCGCCTTCGGCGAGGGAGTCTGGCCGCACGACCCACAGGAAGCGCCTCCTGCTGTTCACGAGGCCGTACCAGAACTCCGTGAAGTCGTGTCTGCTGAAGGCCGTGATGCTCCCGAAGCTCACGTAGATGACTGAATTCGGAGGTTGCTTGTCGAGCCAAGAGATACAACTACGGTCGACTTCCCAGAGACTGTTGCTTGCTGACGATGGTGGCAACGACGACCACGAGAGCCTTGACTTGTGGTGCGAGTGGAGAGGGCCGATCGTGTAGAGGTTCGGGATGTGGGTTCGAATTTGGGAAATGGCGGGGCCCTCCAGTTGGTCGAAGCTGTTGAGGATGAGGGCTAAGGCTCGGGTGGTCTGGAGGGTCTGAGTCGTCACGTACTGGAGGGTCGAGTCAGAGAGGTCGGCGACTCGGCAGAAACTTGGCAGGTCTCTGCACCGGAGGATGTCCTCCATGCCCGGCACGCTCGTCACGACACGGTCCATGTCTTCGTCTCCTACAAAATAATAGAAGTCCAAGGGCTCCATGAAATTCCTCAATGAGTTTCACTCCAACTTCTTAATTGTTTTGTACCCTTTCAACCCTATACCTTAATTTACATCAAGCTTTTCTCGAAATTGAACAGAATCAACAGGTTCAGCGAATGCTGAACATTACCTTTGATGGGGAGGTCTCCACTCTCAATCATGCGCGGAATACAGAAATAAGCCCAGAAGGAACTCGCGCTGATCGTGCGGAACGCGATGATGGGAACTCTGAGGTCTCGAGCGACATCAACAGTGAAGGTCAGGATCCCGTCCGCGATGATACAGGTCACCGGCCGATCAGGAACGGCCACCAACTCTTCGAAGAGTGGCCTGGTTATGCTCTTGATGTAATCATATGTGGTCATGAAGTGGTCGACAGGCCTCGGGTGGTCCATCGGGAAGCCGTCCGATATGGTCTTGAACCGGAAGTACGGGTAGGCGACGAAACGAGCTTGGATGTCGGCATGTCGGAGGAGGCGATGGTGGATGTGTTCGGAGTTGATGAAGGTGATGTGGATGCCGGAGAGGGCAAGAAGCTCGGCAAGCTTGAGCATGGAGTTCACATGACCTTGAGCAGCTAAAGGAAAGATGACGACATGAGGAGGAGGAGGAGGAGGAGGAGGAACATCCATTGCGGTCTTTTGGATCCTGTGATTGGATTCGTGTTCCACTGTTCTAGTGAAAGAGTCACCGCTTTAACCTTGCTCTTTTCTGAGGAAATGGTTTTGTCTTCAAGTCGTCGTCCGTATACGATGCCACATGATGCGAGCGGTGATCTCGTCCTCTGCAGCGTGTCAGTGTCGTTCTCGTCGTAATATATAGTGATCAAGTCTCATTGTTGAAGCAACGCAATGAAGGGTTGCTGTCACGTGACACTGCTCTAATGGTGTATAGTGGACACTGTCTACTCTCCTTTCAATGAGCTCAAGCATTGCGCTTATTTGACAAATACTTATGCCACGGTCCATAATCTATTGTGAGAAAAAAATAGATAACAAATAATTAGAGATTGGGTGGAGTTGCATTCTTTCAAAAATTTATGACTTATAATATATTGTTATTCTCACGGTAGCTCAAAAACTGTTAAATTAGCAAAACCCTGCTTATTTCTCTATAGGGTTAGCTACTCCTGCAATTCTAATATTAAATGAGGTAAATGGCTGGTCCGTTATACTTTCTTAAAAGGAAAAATGGCACAACTGGTCTCCAAACATTGATCCGATGTGCAATGTCATTTTTTGATTTTTAATTTATTAACTGTCAGTAAATGTTCAATATAATCCCTATATTATATGAAAATATTTGATGTCGTCCTTCCGTTAATTCAAGTAACAAAATTTGCTAATATGGTTTCCGATTCGTTAAGTTTGAACAATAGACAACCAAAAAAGTTATATGTAAATTATCCAATTAAGATATTTATCTGAAATCGAGATATAATGATTCATGTCATCATATAATGATGGACATTTTCACGCCCTAATTTTTTTCCTTATCTAAAGTAGATAGATAAAAAGATGGATGTGTTGACTCGTCATAATTTACGTCATCAAATAACGTCCGATTTGTCGTTTGAGCAAACGGACGGACTATATTGAACATTTACCAATAGTTCAAGGACGATATTGCAAATTAGGTTAAAGTCCATTAATCATTCGTATCATTTGTCCTTCTTAAAACAGTAGAATCATATCTAAATCGAGATCGTGTAGGCCAGAAACTCTCTTCAAAACAACAATAATAACGAAACCTCTACGCTAGTGGGTGATAGTCTTCCTGTTTTTTGTGTCAAAAGGGAATAAAGCTTCCTTGACAAGTCAAAATATTGACAGATCAATATGGGACTATCAATGGTCAGACAGCTTGACTTTAACAATTTCACATCAATTACCGATGAAATTGGAATGTTGTGTAGCAACAAGTTGAGGACGAAAGAGAATCGGGGTCCGGTCATCCTGAGGAATGAACGTCCCGATGCTTTTGTCTTAGAATCTTTAGCAGGTCCAAAGTAGGGAATACTAGTTTTTTTTTTTTTTTGCCACGAAAGCTCGAGCATCCCTGATCACGTGATATTCAAAATCAAAGGTATGAGAAAATTACGAAAAAAAATGCTAAATGTTTTCCCTAAAGTTCATCAAGCTCCAAGCATATTCTAAAGGTTTTGAATCTGGTGCTATTTTCTCCTTCCAACTCGACACGCCGAAAAGCTAATGTGGCCCTTTTGAGTACGTTTTTAGCATATGCAGGGTGTGGAGTCGGCACCACATTAAAAAATGAATTTTGCTAGCATAACAGTATTTATGCTACTGTGAAAATAAGGATTTGTTGTGAGTCACAAATTTTTGAAGGAATAGACCACATAACAATTTATAATTATTTGTTTGATTTTTTGTGATTCAGAACATACTATTATTCTCACAGTAAATTAAAGACTATCGCTCAATCATTTCTCTTAGAAAATAGGCCAAAATTTTGTTATACATACAAAAAAAACATATTTAAAAAAGCCAATTCTTAAAAAAGGAAAAAAAAGAAAAATCAACAGAAAGATGGTTGTGGGAGGAGAAAAGTGGGGTGTTTGTCGACGGCCGGGGCGGTGCCGCCTTTCATTGGCGACCCCTTGCCCAACCACAAGCAAGGGCATGCGAGCTCTTGCGCAATAGTGGAGTGGCGCCACCACTCGCTACCGCTACCTAAGGCTCGGCGACACTTGCTTCGCGAGGGCTCACAGGCCTTACGAAGTAGTTAAGATAATAATCATGATTACTCGTGGAAGCACAAAGAAAGCGTTCGTAATCATCGTTCCTTAAATTACCTTTGGGAGATGAAAATTTCATTCGCTAGTTTTTACAGAACAAAAAAGTGTCAATCACCGATTGAGGTTATATAAAGAGAGCTCCGTTACTTTTCTAAACTTAATCCCACCCTATCGATACAAGGCGTTGTGCCAAAATTCAACTTCGCAATGAAATATCTTTCACCAAAAATAATTTTTCGGTTTTATTAGAGGAGACAGGCTCTGTAATGATTCTAGACAGGAAATTTCACAAGTAGACAATAACTTCACTCCAAACGGAATTGAACATACATAAACTGTATTGGAATTTAATCGACGATAAAGCCTAAGAACCTAATCGCCTCAAACGGAACCAAACGTACACAAACTATGCCTGAATTTAATCAATGACAAAACCTGAGAATGCGAAGATGCAACACCGAAATTTAATCAATGACGAGGCACCCAGGATATACAACAAAAACACGCTACAATTTAATCGACGATGCGGATCTAGAAACTACAGTTAAGAAACATGCAGAATTTAATTAACGACGCGAGTCTGGAAACTATAATTGCAGTGTAGAATTTGAAAGGTAACATGTTTGTTTGTTTGTAAGGTGCAGGGCCTCCGAAGGGTACGATGTGGCTATTTAAAGCCAACAATCAATGGTTATAAATGACTATTACAAAGAGAGGTTACAAACGGAAGTTACATAGGGGGTTACAAATATATGTTACAGACGATTACAATGGCTCCACTACATGGACAGTTTCTTCAGCTCCACTATCTTGACGGTTGTTTATTCCACTATGTTGATGATTACTTCTTTGACGGTTGCATCCGAGATTGTCAAGTCCAATGTTTGTTGATTCTTTCAAGTTATCGATTCATCAAGTTGTCGATAATTCTATTCCGAATGATCAAACTCTGCTCTTATCGATTAAGTTCATTACATGTCGATAATAACCAAAAGTTGGTCATTTTTTGGTATAAACAAATGCCCCATTTTAAAAGAATTAAAAGATTCATCGATTGTTTGATTCTTTTAGGGATAATGATACAAACAATCCCTGAACTTTAGCTCGATGAGCAATTTGATCCTCAAACTTTTAATTTGTTTAATATAGTCATTGAACTTTAGCCTAATGTTGAATGTAGTTTTTGAACTTTCGTTTATTCAATATAGTCCATTGACTTTTGGTACATAGACCCCATTGAGCATTGAGTTAAAGTTAAGAGACCACATTGAACAAATTAAAAGTTCAGGGATCACATTGCACATTGGGGCAAAGTTCAGGGATTGTTTATGTCATTTTCTCATCCTTTTAAATTAGATAATTAAGAGTTATCAATTTGCCCCATTGTCATCGGCAAATTAGATTTTTCCTTACCAAATTTTATCCTAATCGGATTTATCGCATGACTCATTTTTCTAACAAAATGCATGCTATGTGTAAAGTCTTTATGTGGTCCTCTATCTTCGTCCTTAAGTAGGTGCTCATACTTACATAAGTGAGACATCTACTTCTAGACTTTTAAATTAAGTAACAAACTGATTGATCAACTCATTATCGTATTAATAGATTCTAGCCAAATCAGCAATTGATATCTTAAGTATCGTTCTATAAAATTGAGAATCGAATTATCTTTCCATTTCAACCAATCAACACATCTCTTGTGAACCAGATTAAGTCCGCCTTCTCAATCCGACCTAAGATAGGTCATCAACATGGGGAGATTCACAAGGAAATACTTCCTTGTCACTTGGCCGCAAGTGATTATGCCGAGTATGAATCGAATGCGAGATCTCACACTTGTTGACATAGGAAATTTTCCTTTTGTTCCCAATAAAACAAAGTCACACGAAACAAATCAAATTACTCCATCCCATATATTTCTCTCTTTCTCTCTATATTCTAGCCCCTGCTAGAGACAGCAACATTTCCTTCTATCTCGTGTCTAAATATATTCCGTTAATCTTTTCAATTCAACTCGTAATTCAATTTCGATGAGCTGCCATGTTCTTGATATCCAGAATCAACCTCTCCAAATGGCGATAGGACGAGCCTCCGAAGCCAGAACTGGTTCTGGCAAGCTTTGCCATCTTCTCTGCAGAATCTCTGAACTCATTGTCCTTCTCTGGATCCATCAGATCTCTCACCATCCTCTCCACCACGACCCTGTCGCAGGCGTCTTTCATGTCCGCCCCGTTCCTCCACACTCGGCCCACGAACCTGCTGTTCAGTGTCTGGTCGGCGAAGCAGGGCCAGCAGATCATGGGGACTCCGGCGGCTACCGCCTCCAGGGTCGAGTTCCATCCGCCGTGGCTCAGGAAGCAGCCGATGGCCGGGTGGGCCAGGACCCCCTCTTGTGGGGCCCACTCCACTAGATAACTGTTAGGAACATACGGTGCTTAGGAACGAACTGCAAGTGCAAGACAAGTGATGTCTTGATTTTCGGGAGAGAAATGCCAGCTTAGCGTTACAGTGGCACAAAGTTTCTATCACTAAAGTTTAAATGATGAGAAAGCTCGGATTGATTCCTAATGAGAAAATCGAGGATGCAACAGTACCCTCTCTCGTTCGTGGCCTCCGCGAGTTCGGCAGGGATCCGGTCACTGCCATCTTTCTCGGCGATGAAGTCCGGCCTCAACACCCACAAGAATCTCACCCCACTGTTGACCAAACCGTACCAGAATTCCATGACCTGGTCCCTTGTGATCACCACAAGGCTCCCGAAGCTCACGTAGACCACCGACTTCGGCGGCTGGTCGTCGAGCCAACCCATGCAGCTTCTATCCTCTCTCAAAATCCCATTATTTCTCGAGACCGGCATGTTGGCGTCGGCTGCCGTTAGTATCGATTTGAGATGGACGTGGAGGGGTCCGATGGCATATATTTCAGGGAAAGAGCCGTGGTTGTGGATGTGAGTGAGGATCGGCGATTCGAGCTCATCAAAGGTGTTGAAGATGAGAGCGTCGGCTCTCGCGTTTTGTTGGCTCTCGTTGGCGATGAATTGGAGAGTGGCCTCGGTCGCATCGATGGAGCGACAGAAGCCTGGAAGATCTCGACGTCTTAGGAACTTTTCCATCCCTGCTACGTTCTTCACTGGCTTATCCAAGTCATTGCCTGGAAGAATGTTTTAACAAATTGAGTAAATTCATGTGTCTTTAAATATAGTTTCACATCTTCAGTATTAAGCAAATCTGAGTGATACCTTGAAATGGAAGCTCCCCAGCTTCAATGAGCTTAGGAATGCAAAGATTAGCCCAAAAACAAGAAGCACTAGTAGTTCTGAACAAGAAGCACCAAACTCTGATCTCTTTCGCGAAATCAATGGCGAAAGTCAGCAACCCGTCGGCTATGATGCATGTGACCGGCCTCCCCGACGCGGACCTCAGTCGACCCAAAACCAGCATCTCCCCGAATACCGGTCTCGTCACTGCCTTCGTCGAGTTGAACAACTCTCGAGCCTCGTAACCGCAGCGCGGGTGGTCCTCTGGCAACCCGTCCGTTATTATGGCGAACCGGAAGCCTGGGTACTGCCCAAAACGGGATTCCACGTCAGAGAACCGGAGCAGGCGGCTCTGGATGTAGTCAGAGTTGAGGAAGGTGACCTCGAGATCGGCGAGGCAGAGAAGCTCGGCGAGCTTGAGCATGGCGTTCACGTGGCTTTGCACCGGGAATGGGAAAACGAGTACGTGCGAGCGGGACGGTGTTGGACTCATCGTTTCTTTGTCCTTCATTGTGCAAATTATGGTTGCCTCTGTTTCCAAATGTTTCCAACATTTCGATGTCTTTAATATTGAAGGTTTCAGTCAAATACAAGCAAGAGCGATGACCATGTAGCCATCGGCCGCAAACCAAGCGCTTACTGTGGAAACTCGGCTGATTTTCCGAAGCATGCATTCCTCAACGGAGTCGTGTAGAGATGCAAAACGAACACAGATGTTTAGTACAACCGGCGCAAACGTAAGGTCTTGAATTTGATCCAGTTCGATGCGAATTTTTGGGTTTGATCTTCGTAAAAACGTCGAATGATCTACCTTTGACTTGAATTTAATCTAATATGTCAAAATGAAGGAACATGAGTTTAAATAAAGTAAGATGAGACATGAACTTGAATTTAAATATAGTAAGATGAGAGATGAATGGTATCGAGCAACTGAGAGCGTTGAAGTTATGGATAGCTGTCACTATTAGAAGCTAGGGTTTGCAAGCATCAATGCTTTAGCACTCTTAAGAGGACCTGAGCAATAAGCAATCCTTCACTGGGTTAGCAGTTAAATAAGCATACGTTGATGCCAAGATCTCTGTGTCGCCGTTGAGATTCGACCGATGTTAATGTCAACACCTTGACGGCCACATTCGATCCGTAGAAGATGCCTCTTCTAGAGTTGATTGTCATCAATCAGATGCCATTTGTGTACTGCGCCAAGGCCATGTCATAGTTGGCAAGCTTGATGTAGACGTGAACGGGAGAATTTTATTCCTATATCGTCTGTGACGATCTGACTCATCTCATGTGGACCAAACTCTTAAAAAGAGTACTCGAAATCATCGCATTATGTGACGACCATTCTAAAGTGCATCTTATCTATGAATAATATCAAAACGCACTACCTCTTCGATGGGATACTTGAATATCACAGAAAACCTTTTTCTAGGTAATTCGTTAGATTTTCACACAATAAATCTCGATCTTCATCATCAGACAATAACTAAATTTTAATTTGTAAAATGATCCAAGTGTTTGGTATCCCCTTCTGCCCATTTTAAGTTCTTCTTTTTCTCAAATTTTGGTGCACACGTGAACTGATAGCAATATGCCCTTTTGCTAGGTAACGTAACAGTATGAAAATTAAAGCCTGCCTTTTACTGCTTCATATTGAATTGGACGACAAGCCCAGTCCCGCTCAGTTCCGAAGTTAGGCCTCACGGCCCATTCAACTCCTCGCCCTTTCTATCTTCCCGTCTCTCCTATACACAAGCTCAGAATGCCGAAGAAGCTCGTGGAACCTCGTGGGAAGAGAGAGATCAGATCAGAGAAGACACCTTTCACTTCGTACCGATACTTGTCATCGTCCAGAAGCGCCATGAAACCACTGCACTCTCTCTCTCTCTCTCTCTCTCTCTCTGTATAAATTCCTGCTCCCGGATATTTCTTCAATCAAAGCTCTCTTGAAAAGCACCAAACCCACCGAAACATGAGAGTTTCGTCGTACACCATGTCGCTGGTCCCGAGTTTCTTCAGCGGGCGCGGGGGCAGCGTCTTCGAGCCTTTCTCCCTCGACATGTGGGACCCCTTCGAGGGCTTCGGCGTCGCCGCCGTCCAGCCCTCCGGCGGGGACCGGGAGGCCACGGCCATGGCGAACGCGCGGATGGACTGGAAGGAGACGCCGGAGTCGCACGTGTTCAAGGTGGACCTGCCGGGGCTGAAGAAGGAGGAGGTGAAGGTGGAGGTGGAGGACGGGAGGGTGCTGCAGATCAGCGGGGAGAGGCGCAGGGAGCAGGAGGAGAAGGCGGACAAGTGGCACCGCGTGGAGCGGAGCAGCGGGCGGTTCGCGCGGCGGTTCAGGCTGCCGGAGAACGTGAAGCTGGACGGAGTGCGGGCCAACATGGAGAACGGGGTGCTCACGGTGGTCGTTCCCAAGGCGGAGGAGAGGAAGCCCGAGGTCAAGGCCATCGACATCGCCGGCGGGGAGCCGGAGAGAGAGAGAGAGAGAGAGGGGGGTGTGTAAGCTGACGGAGGAGGTCTGAAATGAGAAGAGAAGGGAAGAGACGATGGCTGGTGATTTTGCTGGTAAATAAGGTCAACGTCAAAGTTGTGTTTTCTGGTTTGTTTGTTCCTTGTTTTTTCTTTGGCCGGGGTTATGGTATGGAAGACGAAAATGGTACGTGTACGTGTGATCCTATGCTGGTAATATACGCAGTTTTCTACAAATGCGACTATACGACATAAACGTAACGTGAAGTGGAGCATGCTGTTCCGAATAGCAGCCCTTAGCTTAAGAGTTAATCGCTGATGGCCCGTGAAAAAAGGGCAGAATGCACTTTCCGAGTTGGAAAACCATCGTTAAGAGTTTCATCAATTTCCCTGACATTTGCCCAAAGGTAGTGGTTGGATACTAAAGCATAAGTGAGATATATGAAATTTAAATTTAGTTGTCAACTTGGGAACGAAATTCGTTTGAGGGAGGATCCAAAGGCCCGGCACAAATGGCCAGGAAATAGTCGAATATAGGCCGTGGATCGTTAAAAGGAAGGAATTTTCAAGTGGCCCAATACCAAACAACCCCCCAATATTTCTCTATTTTCTTCCAAATTGTTTTCTTTTTTTTTTTTTTTTTTTTTCTTTTTAGCATGAGATAATGGAGGTACTCAATTAAAGGTATTGGATACTTGATCCTATTCCATTCTACACACAACATTGGCATTTGATCCTATTCCATTCTACACGGAGGAAACTAAATCCGGTTTTTTCTAAAGCATGGAACAAAAAATTGGGATAATTAACAAAATAATCCTAAGTCTATTGCACGGATACATTTAATTCTAAATTTTTCAATTTGATCAATTTAGTTGTACACTTTTTGATAATTTACTAATGTAATCCTTCTTACCAATTTTGGCAAACCAATTTAGTTCTACACTTTTTGATAATTTGCTAATGTAATCTTTCTAACCAATTTTGGCTAACAATCACTGACATGAACGCCTACTATTCTATATGAGTGAACAATTTTTGCAGGTAAAAAGAAAAGAAAGAAAGAAAGAAAGAAAGAAATTTATAAAAAAAAATTCAGAGAATTTTTATAAAAATTGCAAAAAATAATTCACGTCAATGCCGGCCACGTAGGATGATTGATGTTCACATTAGTGATTGCTAGCTAAATTAGCTACAAAGACTACATTTGCAAATCTTCAAAATGTTTAGAACTAAATTGGTCAAATTGAAAAGTTCATAACTAAATTAGCATCCATACAACATGTTTATAACTTTTTTTGCAATTTTTTCAAAAAAAACTTTTAGACAAAAATTTGGTTGTTAACAAAATCAAATGGTTTGCATTGTTGGTGTTTTTTTTTTTGTCTAAACACAATCTTTTATTATTAGCGGTAAATACATGAAGCCACTAATGAGGCCTCGAAACAAAGCATATCTTAGAGGGCCTTTGGAGGGCGAGCTAGCTAAATCTGGGACAAGGCCTTTTTTCTATGGGCTTTGGAAACCCAATTAGCTACACAATTACAGGCTCTATTACAATGTGCTATCTTTAAATTTGAAAAGAGGAGCAACAGCTCGCCCCGCCTCGTTGATAAGTGCACGCCCTTCTTAGTCGGACCGATCTATGGACAAGTTACTTAAACTTAGGCAATTTGACCCCAAGAGAAGCCGTTCGTGCGTCCATGGAAAGAGAAAACTTTAGTGTTTCCACCATGGCTAGGGTTTTTGCTTGCTCAACTCAGGAGACGAGGACAGTTCGAGCAAAGCCATCAACCAAAGTCGTAGAGGAATTGCGGCAAATGCAAGCAATAGAGCCTTCGTTTGAGCCGGATACATATGCTCCATCGATATTTATCTTCACTTCTCCCTCTTCTAGTGGAAGCCATCTACCTCTTTCCATAGTTCTCGTAGATGCCAATTTCGTGTCCAAGTCGCTTCATTTCTTGAAATTTTTGAGTCATTAAAAAAAAATCGGGGTTACCAATTCGAAGATCATTTTTGTAGCTTTTTCCAATTTTATATTTTTTTATACCTTGATCTCCACTATTCAATTAGCATTTTTTTTTTGTCTATATCAAGACGAAAATTCAGATTTCCTATCGTGACCGGAGATAGCGTAGGCGTAAAATCTGGTAAATGACCCAAATTTGAATTTTTAATTTACCCGAGCAAGCATGCGGCGAACAAGAAGGTGACGTATCCGTTAGGCTGACGTGGCGACACCTCCAAAGTAGGTCCCGCCAAAAGTGACGCAATACCCCACCCCCAATCATCAACCAACTACTCTCGCGCGAGTGACGAACTCACGAACCAGCTCGGACGTGCGAAAACCCGGTTCAGCCCTCGCGCCCCCTCCGAATTTACCGAAGAGGGCCCGTTCCTTGTGTCCTGCCACCGTCTCGCCAGTCGCCAGAAGCATCTCCCCCCGATCCTCCTCCATGGCACTCTGCTGAGTCTCTCCATTTCTTCGCGTTACGGAACTCCCGAAACTTCCCAGAGCTTCTCCCATGGCTTCATCGCGCGCCTTCTTCTCCTCTTCTTCTTCTTCGTCGTCTTCGCTCGCTCTCTGCCGTTGGGGAGCTTTCTCCGATCACCTCCCTCGCCTATGTCCGCCTCTTGGAACGTCTCGCGGTCACCCGCTCGACTGCAAATTCCCCCGGCTCAGCATCGGATTCTGGCGAGAGAGGTACGCGACGTGTTTTCTCCTCCGCTTTCGTGCTAGATTGAGATGTGAATCTGCAGCCGCAAGGACCTCGGTAGTTCGTCTGTTTCTTCGTTTCCCTGGGTTTGGAGTACTTTGTGGCCGATGAGCTCGACTGATCGTCCAAGGCTCTGATCGGGAGGGTGCCGATGTCTGCGTTTCGGAATATAGGTTGACGAAGAAAATCTGGTTGATTTCTCCTATATCCTTTTGTCTGATCGCTCGTTTTCTATGACCATCTGCGATCATCGGATTAGTTTGCGTCGAGAATATCGGGATCAAACGGTTGCCTGAACACTGATTCTGGCGTTCTCTTTGGCACCTGTGAAAAATGTTTTGACTAGACCTATCTATAACAAGGATAGAGCGATTCTGCAGTCTGTGTGTGTGATCATTTATGCACCTTTGTTGAACGCATGTTGTTCCTGCTTATTGATTCTCCATATTCATTTGGATTATTGTGCAGAAACATCGTTCATGCTTCTGCTAATGGCACAAATGCTGTGGATGTCACCTCAATGGTAAGGAACTGAATTTTACCAACTTATTGGATATTTGAACGTTGAAAACACAGTAGTCGGGCATCACCGCTGGTTTGAGCCCTAGCTCGCCGGCCGCGCGGATACCTCGGTTATCAAAAAAAAAAAAACACAGTTGTCTATTTTCTATGTTCGATTTTGGTGCCTATTGGATCCTTTAATTGTGTAATATAATTTTGTGGAGAACTGGCCTTCTGTTTAAATTTACTTCAATTGTTTGTTAATAGAGCTTCCCTGGCAATTAGAACCAGTGTTTTTCCCGTCTTTGTCGAGTAATGAATGCCTTCATAGTGGCCATTTTCTCTTCTGTTGCTAATTGGTGCAATCAACAAGCATCTTTCAATGGTTATGTTGAAAATCAGTGTCTGGGTGGGACCAACTTTTCTTTATATAGTGTAAATCTGTAGCTTGGGTTGACATATTGAATGCATATTGTCGTGTATTGTCTTTTTCGTTCACCAACTATTTTCTCCAAATTGTGTCTTCTGCTTGTGTTATTTAGTTGTGAGATGGAGAAGCTGGTATTCTGCTGTGGTTCTTTCCACATCTTCACTGAGATATACTATACTGCACTTATCAGTCCTTCCATATGTTCATCTCTCTTATCTAGATGAAGTACAGACAATAGCCTAAATGTGATGTTCCGTCATGATTTAGTCCTTTACTTGTTCAGGTGTTTTCTTTGATATGAATTTCAATAATGCGATGATGGGATTTTTAAATTGTTATTCTAAGTGTCAATTTTTAGTTGGTAGAGAATACAAAAAATCCCAAGATGTATCCGTTCTGACGACATGACACAAGTGTAACTTTTTCTGCAGTGTGATGATGCTTCTGATTATGTTCCCATGCCAGTGGTGCTGATTGATCAAAATTCAGATTCAGATGCGACTATAGTGCAACTCAGCTTTGGGGATCGCCTCGGGGCTCTTATTGACACGGTGAAGTGACTTTTTTGTAAAGATTTTATTGTTAACCTAAAAGTAGTAGTGATTTTGGTTTCAGTTTCAGTGCCAATGCTCTTTCCAGCAACAACTCTCTCTGTTTTTTCCCCTATTTATTGGGTGAATGGATATCTCTGTTTGTCTATCAAAATTGTGTGCATCCTGCCAAATATATGCCCCAAAGATGAGGAGAATGAAAGAGAAGAATGATGGATACTATACCATTACTATTGCCTTGTGGCTAAATTGGTCTAATTTGAGCTTTTTTTGTGTTATTCCCCATCCCCAGATTGAGTTGGTTTGCCATTTTATAATTTGTTTTAGTAACCAGATCATTTAAGCCCCTTTTACCCTCTAGATTCGAGCGGGACTATGAAGCATAAACTTGTGAGCATAGTCTCTTGTATCTTGGGTCGCGCTGGGAATCTCATCATCCATACATAACGAATTGATGTGGTATATTCATATAATAACCTATGAACCAACAATAAGAACTCAAATTCTTATTGAGACTATAACTCATAGGGAAGAAAATCGATTTATGGATGGAATCAAATATGCAGTATATACTGACAAAAGTCTTTGGTTGTTGGATAATGTAAGCTGGTTGTTTTCCTTTGAATTGGATTCTTTTACATGTAAATGTGTAAATTCTTAGGGTTGGAAGATTTGAGTACATCCATTGAGTATTGGAATAAATTTACCTGAAGAGTTCTTAATGGCATAGGTATCTGGGTAGAGTTTTGCTTCCGTGTGTATTTTCTGATGAGATTAGACTGATGATTTATGTTGACAGATGAGAGCATTGAAGGATTTAGGATTGGATGTATCGAAGGGAATTGTTACCACAGAGGGACCTGTCAAGCAAACAAAATTCCACATCACAAGACTGTAAGGGATTTCATTTCTACCGGCAACACTTGATGTACTTATTGTCATAGAATTTTTTGTCTCCTCTATGGAATTGCTGATCCATGTTCTCTGTGCATATTCTCTTATTCTCAATTTCCATGTAGTTCATTTTTATTTATG